TTTATGCCGGGGTGTGTGATCTCTCTCTCTCTCTCTCTCTTGCTCGTTGATTCTACATCAATAAACATCACGATCTCTCTCTCTCACTGATTCGTTGTTTCTACATCGACAGTCATCACAAATGGACTACAGACGTTTGTTGATTTTAAACTTATATAAAAATCTGAATGTAGATTATCTTTAACCCAGTTTAATAAAGTTTCATAGGAATCAGATGGTAGATATTCTGAATTATTAGAATTTATTGCAGTTGTTAATAATGCTCCCAAAGATCTTTCATCTGTTTCTTTCATTGTACGTATTGGCATTATAAGCCAACCACTATTTTTCTCAGGACTATCAACTGTACAACCAATAATAGATTTTGAATCTAACAATGAATTTCCAGTCTTCAATCTACCGCCAACGAATGTGAGATAACCACAACCAAAGTATATTTGTTCAGTTGGAATAATTAAATTCAAATCTCCTTTTAACCATTTTATTGATGACTATTGTGGACCACTACAATCAATAATGAAATCGCCAAGCAGATCGACTGTTCATGCACGACTATCACGTGTAGGACGATATTTCACACTCTTCATAGTATTTAATGATTGATTAACAATGAGTTGTTTCACTTTTGAATTACAAATCCATTGAATTTTATGTCCATATTGTAAGCATAATTTTTGTCGTATAGCTATTTCTAATGTAAAACGATCAATACCTGGCCATTTAAAGTCTTCGGTTAAATTTGGATGTAGTAATACATTGTTAACAACAAGTCTTCACTCATTTTTCAACGAATAAGAACGAATATAATATTCATTCAGCAGTTTTTGATCAAGCTGAAGAAATAATTCGCGCAATATAATTCGTCTACCAATTGCCATTAGATATATTTGGTATATTTGTGGAACACCTGATCGTCCTACTGATGCTGGGCTATCAAGACAACAACGATAGTTTGATAATTGCTCGGGTGTAGATTGCATTAATTTATCATCTAATACATCATCTTATTTAATAATTGTGATTCGAGAGAAATATTGTGTTAAGTAAGCAGTAGTTACCATTCCACCAGTACTGCTTCCAATACTAATAGTGTCATCATATTGAGGACCATCTAAACGTATATTTGTAGATGTTTTAGTTTTTCTGTAAATTATATTCGAGACGATTCTTATCGTGAATGGTATTGGAAGCCAAAGCATGGGCTTTTTAACAACTCACTCTGAATATACCGTAAATTAAACTCAGGATGGAACATGATTGTGCTTTTATTTCATACATACTTACATACATATAGACTTGGACAATTAGTAATAGTCTTGTGTAAAGAAAAGAGATGGAAAAAACCTACTGTTTTCATTTTTTCTCTCAAAGTATTCGTTGGCATGATATCATTGGCAGCGATGGAAGAAATGGCGGTTACCTACTCACTACAATGATTTTTTTTATTTGAAGAGAAGACATAAAAATTCGTCGAAAGTGCGTCAGAGGTGATATGCGATGAGTAATATACTGTTACTCAATCGCTCGCTGCCGTTTGAAGATCTCGAAAATAAACTTTTCGGTGTTGATTTGTCTTCTACTATAGAATCGAGAGGTAAAGACAGGTTTGTGACATAATTAAAAATAGAAATTATCATGAGAGAGAAAGGACCTTCATTTTTACCTTTTGAATATTAAGTCCCAGACTTTATCAATTTATATTTACATAAGAATTTTCATCGGTTAATTTTATATTTATCTTCTCGCGTCGAATCAATTATCATAGATCATTTAAACTGCCTTTGACTGCTGTTTGTGGTGGAGTCATATGAATGACGAATAAATTGTTGACGAGTGTTTACCTATAAACGAATATTTCTGTGATGGAGAAAATAGTCTTTAACAACAACTTGGTATTTTATTATAGAGTATCCTATTACTATTCAGTGTACCTTGAGTAATTTCTACTTTTTGTATTTATTGACTAAGTGTTTACAATTATATTGTTCTATCAATTTGCTAAATGTGACATTTTTAAAATGATTTTTAATAGTAACTCCTCTCTTTTCTTTCTTCTCCATCGGCAAAATAGCACCTATTCAATTCATTAATATAATTATACGAAATTGCTGTCAACATTGATCTACAATCATTGTAATGTTCTCTATCATATATAGAAATATTGATGAAGTCAATACATAGAATATTTTTTGTTCGAAAATGTTCTTAGTCAGTGTAGCAGTTACTGTAGCTATGATTGCTGTTGGTACCGTAATTGCTATCGGCTTAGGCATTGGACTGCATAATAGTAATCAAAATCTCACACTCGGTACTACACCTTTATCAACTACAACAACTGTCACTCCAACATCACTCCATATTAATACTACAATATCAACAACAACTTCTGTTAATCCAACAACGACCACAACTACCGCAACATCTACAACCTCGACAACTACTCCCAGTAATACAACACATTCTATTTCAACTACAACTTCTACATCTACGTCTACGTCTACGTCTACTATAACATCTTCATCTTCTACAACTCCTTCAACTACAACTACAACTACGTCAACTATAACCATTAGTACAACCACAACATCTACAAGGACGACTGCTACGAATTGTTCCTGCACATGTCACTGTGCTTAGCAGTAGTTCAGTTACTCAGATGTATCCACAAGCTTAAAACAGAAAAAAACGTTGACGAACTTATTACTACTTTTCTCTTTTGAAAAATGCTATTTGTGAATTGATGAGGCACAGACGTCGATTATAGTATATTAGTAACACATCAAATAGTTCACACATCCATTTATTTCAATATTGTCCTTATAGATGTGTCTTTACAATGTCTCTGAAGGACTCTTATAGATTCTTTCTTTTCGCGCCGCTGGAAAATAAAAAAAAGTAGTTATTTCTGTTCGTCATTGGACAAATGTTGTAAATCTAACAATGGAACTTGACAATTTTGTGTGATATCAAAATAAACTGTTTGCTTTTGATTTGAAGAGATAATCGGGATATGTATTTTGTAACCATTTTTGCTCTGTTTCAGTTCGTAGAGATTCATTCGTTGCCTGAACAAGAATGGCTGTTGTAGGCATGGAACCTTCTCGACTAATTTAATGTGACAGATTTCTATAAATGATAAGGTGCACGCAATGCAAAAATCAAGTGAAATTTATTTTGACTTTTTTTCCACATGGTTTGATAGAGCATGAGCTGCTGATCACGATGGACTACTTTTTATTCGTTCAAGAAGCTAATTTGTAGTCAGANTTTTTTCTTTCTCTCTCGTCGATTTAATAAACACCATCACGAAGATCTCATTACATCCATTCACCGCTGTCAATAACGAAGTAGGACAACCACACACACTAACAGGAATCGATACAGATCTCAGCTCTCTGTTGTTTCCGTCCGGCCTATTAACGTCTAGTGGGCAGGAGTCTTTGGTCATTAACAGAAAAGCTAACAATTGGTGGAGAAGTTGGGCAATTATTTGTTCGATCTGTATCAGTTCCACTAACCATTTCTAATCGCTTTCTAGAAGAGAACTTCATTCTCTCCTTAATTAATTGACAGATTTTTCTTGGTGATTAACTAAGCTACGTTCTTTAGGCGATTTTTGTTCAAAATAACAATAACTCTCAGTGTTCATATTCGTAATTATTCTTTTCATTCGTGTCGTTTCGTTCGATCTAAGCAGAAATATATAAAATACGGATAAAACAAAAAAAAAAAAAAAAAAAAAAAAAAAGAAAAAAGAAAATATAATAAAATGTCTTCCGATAACGTAACGGAACCAAAGACACACGCAGACGTGTTAGAAAAAGACCAAGAGAATTCGTCAGAAGAGACACCATTTTCTGAATCATTACACGGTAGTTCGCAGCCTAAAGCAAAGGCACAGAATACAGATCGCCGACAGGCAAAAATACATTCTCCTTATAAGACTAATCAAACTGATACAGATTTCGCACCCGAAGAGAACGAAGATGAGGAGAGTGAGGAAAATAAATTCGATGAATTTATCCTCAATAATTTTATGCCTTTCTCTGGTGCAGAGGATATTCTCAACTGGTTAGACGAAACAGATAAGAAATTTCGTTATCACAAAATATCACGTAATATTCGATACAAGGCCATCCCCTTGTTAGTAACCGATGACGCCAAACGGACATGCATTTTGAATGAATCTCATATTAAAACCTATGATGATTTTTACAAATGTCTTTGGACGACTTATCATAAGGTATCCACTGCAGAATCTCGTTCACGAACAAACTCTTTAGGATATTCAGTCAGTCAGAATAATGATTTACACATGTCGTCCGTGACAAAAAACATATCTTTTCATGATCCACCGATAGCACATTCGATTCATTTCGATGATTCTGATAGTTTACCACCACGTCCTATCTTACGATCTACAACAATTGCTGAAGGAGGTACCGCCAAAATAGTTGGCGATGAACCTGTCTACGGAAGAACCTTCCAATCGTCTGATCTATCGCGTAGTACGTGTAGTCTCGAGCAAACCACATATGTCATTCATAAAGCCATTATTGACAATCTCATCAATAATCCAAAGACATTTCAAGGGGGAAAAGATGATGTGAAACAGTGGCTAGAGGATGTTGAACAATTATTTGATACTGCACAAATCCCTGATAGCTATAAGTTAGATCTCATTCCATATTCACTGCGAGGCGAGGCACGTCGTTGGTACAAGAATACCAAAGCCAGTCTGACCTCCTGGCCAATATTTGTAAAAGAGTTGAAAGAAGCCTTCCTTTCACCATTCCATGATGAACTGGCCTTCAAAAAACTTGATTCCTACACACAGGGAATTAATCAGCCAGTTCGTAGCTTTTACAATGAAGTGCTTAAATTGTGTAACGAAACCGACCTGGAAATGAGTGAGTCTATGAAACTTCGCCATCTGCTTAAAAAGGCAAAACCCACGCTGCAGTATGAAATCCGTAAGCGAAAACCTACCACGACCAAACAATTTCTTGAATACGGTAAGGAAGCCGAAGAGCTCCTTCAGTTGTCAAATCTTGAGATCAACAGTGATCCGTCTAGTTCTCATGACCATAAGCCAACTACATCGGCACAATCCACAGTAACAGCCGCCCGGACGTCATCTAGCACTGTTAATAACTTCCCTTTCATTCCATACGATCCGAATATGAGTTATAACAATTTCCGTCCAAATAATCGATATAATAACAATCGATATAATAACAATCGAAACTATAACTATAACTCTCGCTCTAACCAATCGCCAAACCCTTTCGGATCCTTTCACTCCTCTCGTTCCTCCTTTCCTCAAGATAACTCTTCGTATCACTCTACATCAACCACAGGTTCTAATCAGCGCTCGTCATATTCTAATTCCCCTAGTAACTATAATACACCTCCTAACGTATCCAACAATCAGCACAGCATTAATTATCAGCCGCGGACCATTAATAATACTGCCAAGAATAACCCGAACTCAGTTCATTCTGTGAATCATATATTAGCGATTGATGGTCAATCACCCGCTCAGCTGACACCTCCAGCTGCCGAGGCAGTCACTTGTGCTCAGTATATAGATGGGGACCAACAGGCATCCGCCTGTTCCCATTTCTAACACCGGGGTCACCGCAAGATGGTGTTGACTCCGGCACATTGACAAAAAGATCCAGAAACCCATCTCTTCTTTTCCTTCATACTTTAGTTAATACTTATCCCATGCAGATATTGGTAGATACCGGAGCTACCAATACTTTCATCAATTATAAAACTCTATGCCTGATTCAACCTACTCCACAACTGCTTCAACCCTCAGCCTCTTTCGTTCTCGCTGATGGCATCGCCCCTTTTCAAGTTCTAGGCACAGTAAAGTTAGACATTCTGTTTTCTGAACAACCGACATACATAGTTGCGCACGTTGCTCAAAACTTATGCACTGACGTTATCCTCGGAATGGACTATATTACTCAATATAATCTTAAATTCAACCTCCGTATGCGCACAATTACCATTGATCTCGATAATTGTCAGTACGAGATGCACATTGCTCAAAATGTGAATACGGAATATATCCCTGTGCGATTATCGCATAACTCATACGTTCGTGCCCACTCAACACGTTCAGTTAAGGTTTCCACTCCAGTTGCGTCTATCAGTTCACAATTCATTCCAGACTATAACTTTTCCTTATGTAACACAGCATTTGTGCCACATAAATTCCTTCAATTTCGTAATCATACATCTAATGTCACTTTCTCCAACACATCTTCGGACACACAGTTTATCCCACGTGGGACCCATATAGGTTATTTGTGTAATTACTCCATTCCACTCGCTTCCCATAACCCTACCCGTCAGGTCTATCAGCCATGTGGTGCCACCGAACTCGTTGGTGAGTCACCAGTTTGTCATGCCACTGATACCCATACCACTATGGCGGTTCCCTTACCGCTGCCAATATCCGTCATCATTGATGCGAATATCAGTCCGCCATTGACGGACAACATCCATCAACTTGTTAGCACAGTTGACATATCGCACCAACGTGAGGAACTCCTTAATCTTCTCTATCGGTTTCACGAATTATTCGATATATCTAAACACAACATAGCCGACACCCCCATACATCATGTCATTAATACGGTGCCACATTCACCACCAGTCTGTAGGCCATATCCACATCCGGATACAGATGAGATTCTATACGATATGGTTCAAGAATATCTAGATGCTAATCTAATTTCGGAATCTCATTCTCCTTACGCGGCACCCGCGTTTTTAGTTAAGAAACATGATGGTACCTATCGCTTTGTTGTCGACTATAAAAAACTGAATCTCATCACCATCAAAGACTCTTCACCTTTACCTAACATGGAAGACACGATCAGGAAGCTTGGTGAAGGCTATAAATACTTTTCCAAACTGGACTTAAAGTCTGGTTTCTATCAGATCCCCATAAGAGCGGCTGACAAAGAGAAAACGGCCTTCGTAACGCCCTTCGGTCATTTTCAATTCAATGTTTTACCCATGGGTCTAAAAAACTCGCCACCTACATTTCAGAAAGTTATGAATAATACGCTAGCTCCTTGCCGTCAATTCGCTCTCGTCTATTTAGACGATATCATTGTCTTTTCAAAAACCTATGATGATCACCTATCACACCTCGCACAAGTATTTCTCGCTTTACAGAGCCGCCATTTCGTGCTGAACCCTCCTAAATGCGAGTTACTCGTCACAAAAATTGATTACTTAGGTCATACAATAACTGAAACGACTGTCACCCCATTGCGCGAGCGAATACAAACAGTGCTCGATATGAAAGAGCCTCGTCTTCTATCTGAAGCCAATAAATTTCTTGGCGGCCTCAGTTGGTATCGAAAATTTCTTCCTAATTTTGCTAGCGTAGCAGCTCCTCTTCACGCCGTCACTAATCTCACGAGAAAGAATCGCCATAAGTTCCGATGGGGCTTTGCGCAATCGCGAGCCTTTCAACATCTCAAAGAACTATTGATATCAGAACCACTATTTCTACACTATCCCATTCCGAATATACCTGTCATCTTGTCCACTGATGCTAGCGGAGTAGGTATCGGCGGAGTCTTACAACAGGAGGTAGATGGGCAGTTACGTAATTTATACTACCACTCACAGCTACTCACACCTGCCGAACAAAAATATAGTACAATTGAGAAAGAGGCTCTCGCGATCTATAAGTGTTTCGTTCGCATGCGACCTTTTTTGCTCGGGCGCGAAATCATTGTCATGACCGACCACTGTCCGCTTTGTCACCTTATGACTAAAACAGTGAATAATGCCCGAGTCGATCGCATAACTCTGCTAATACAAGAATATAATATAGAAAAGGTTATCCATATCAACGGTCGACACAACTGTCTACCTGACTACCTGTCTCGCTTTCCACGCGAACAGTATGATGATCTTTTTGACGTGGAATATGGCCTTCGTAGCCACACGGTGGAGCAGTCTTCCACGACTCATACAAATAATGTCGTAGCCAGTATGGTCTTACGTCCGCGCGTCAATGGCAAGGTGTGCGTCGCACCTCCAACAACACCTAATTCCACATCTAGTCATACTTCGGATCCTTTCTTTAACACTCACCTTGATTCTAATTTTTCTACGAATAACTTTGATGTCATGAAATTGAAGGATGAACAGGAGAAAGATCCACTTATTCAACAATACGTAGTCCAGCTACGCTCTAATCCGCAAGATACACCGTTTATATTACGGAATGACCTTCTCTACAAACTTATTTCTCTTTCTCGCAAATCTAAGCGTAAGACGGAAGTTCTATGTTTACCCCACTCTATGATTTTTTCCCTTCTACAAGCGTGCCATGATGATCCTATGTGTGGCGGTCACTTCTCGCTGGATCGAACGTATCATAAACTAAAGGCTCACTACTGGTGGCCTAATATGATTTTTTCTATCCGACAATATATACAATCTTGTCAGCTGTGTCAACAATTTAACGTTAGTCGTCAAAAGAAACCGGGTCGCCTTCGTACGGCTCCTCCTCCCGACGGCCCTTTTCAGATCATCGGTATCGACTACTGTGGTCCTCTCAATAGGACCCCTCGCGAGAACCGTTACGTATTAATAATCACCGACTATTTCACTCGTCATGTCGTTGCTATTCCCCTCCCCAACTGTTCTGCCACGACTACCGCTGAAGCACTTTTCAATGAGTACTTTTGCAAATTTGGCGTCCCTTGTGTAATTGTCAGTGACCAAGGCAGCCATTTCCACAATCAGCTCATGCATGATATGCGTTCCCTAGTCGGTTTTAATCATATCTTCAGTACAGCGTATCATCCCCAAACCAACGGAATCGTTGAANATATCAATGTTTTCCATTAGAAATTATTCGAATAATATATTAATGAATATTAAGTAATTGATGAATACGTTGAGATGTAATACGTTTGATAAAATCATTCATTCCTTTTCGAAAGATTTCTGATGGGAGAATAAATAGAAAAATTATCATTAAGCATGGGAAAAAGGCAATAGAATAACTAATTAAAGCAGTGTAAGATTGTCGATCGAGTTTTTTACAGACAAATATAAAGCTTAAAGCAAGTCGAGGGATCGCAAGACAAGCAAGGACAATTGGTGCAATTAATATATGTTTATGTTGATCGACAGATTTTTTCATTATTTCCATTCGTTTTGTTAACATATTTTTATTCTTATCCGATTTAATATCATTGATCTTAATTATTTTAGTTTTTGAAGCGATTGTTGTTTGAATAATAATAATACTACTAGTTAAGTTAATTATTAATGGTAATAAAAATAAAAGAATATTTGTAATGGAATAAAATATTAAAAGAATTTTTCGATCTGGATTTAATGTTCATACACACCAAGCTTCTTCATCATATGTATCATGAACAATTCGACGAAATATTAATTCCGGAAAAGAAATACAAGCAAGAAATAGAAGAACACATATAATAATCCATTTAGCTCGATATTTACTTGTTTGAGGAGTATATTTAGTTGGTTGAATAACAGCTTGTGTTCGATCAATTGATACACAGACGGGTACATAACTAAGACCCGTCGTTTGTAAACAACGTAAATTTCGCAAATATTATTCAGTTTACCTTGAATTATATGAAATTGTTCCCTGANAGCTTGTGTTCGATCAATTGATACACAGACATTAAGCCATTCACTACTTGTTGGAAACCATTTAAGTAAAAACTCAATTAATGAACAATTAATATTAGTTTGTTTTAAATTTAATAGAATAAATATTTTACATATAAGTATTATCATTGTTAATAAACTAATAATAGATGAAATAAATAAATATAATCCACAACCGGATTTTTGTGTTTTCTCTTGACTAAATGTACCGATAGCAAATATATTGAAAATAACACCAAAAAATATTAATAAACCAAGAATTAATACAGATATTTGAATTGTTTTATTGTGTTTTAAAATATTCATTGTTTTTAATCGAATATGTGAACCAATAATCGCATCAAGTGCTAAACTATAACCACCTCGCCATAATTCACCAGTTAAACCATAACTACATGGTTCACAAATACATGCTGTTACTTTTGGACATCTATCGTCATCTTGTACACACATACCACGACTATGACATGTATTAATTAAACATTCACGAGGTTTTGTTTCAAAATTAAAACAACTAACATGATTAGTTTCATCACATAAACACATAAGTTTATCATCATAGAAAGATATTGATTGTTGATTTAAACATGGACGTTGATATTTCTTTACTCGACGTAAAGGTATTTGATTGAGTATTGTTTGATCAAATAATTCATCAATTGAATGACATCGATGTGAAGATCGAACTACAGTATTGAATTGGTGAGAGAGTGTAATTCCACCACTTCTTAATAATAAAAGATAATAATCGAATTGATATTGATGTTCATACAATTGAATGAAAGCAAGATGGGGGGTTAAAATTGTTGTCCCATCGAAAGAAAAATTAAAATTCGATATATCTCGATTAAGTCGATGAAAGTATGTAAAAGATCGAGGTTCCTGTTTGTTAATCGCGTTAATAACATGAATAAAAGCGATGAGCGATGATGGAATACTAATTTCTCGAGACAATGAAATAGAAATACGTGACTTTGCTTGTTCACATTGATCACCTTCCCATTCTTTATTACATAGACACACAAATTGCTTTGTTAAATCATGACGTATATCAACTGGTATACATCTTCCTTGTCCATTGCAACTATTTTTTGTGCAGGGATTGAAGTGAATAAAACATCGACGACCAGTACGTTCTAAAGGACATACACAAATATCGCGACTAAGGTCAAGATCATATCCAAGACATAATGAATCATTTGAACAAGATGTACAATTAGAATAGTTCATTAATGTTGTTATTACCCATCTAGATTCAGTAGATATAGTTGAAATATTTGTAACAATAAGTTCTTTTGATATACGACGAACAGGTAAAAATTCAAATGAAAGAGGAAAATGCCATGAAACAAAATGTTGAAGTGTATTAGCAATGAATGCATGAATATATATACTATGATTAAGAAATAATAATGAGGAATTATAATTAATTGGATAAAGTAATTCTATTAGATATTGTGGTGAACAATACTTTTCTGGGATATAATTAAATTGTTCATGAGAAATAATAGAAAATGTAATATTATCATGTCGTTTTAATAAAATAATAAATTTAAACATTGGAATTTGATTGGCAATGAGATTTTCTATGCGAAGGTAAAGATTAAGGGAAATTCGTTTTCTTTGAAATTGACAATGATCACCATAATAATAATTTGGACAAAGACAAAAATAACTAGATGGATTAATTGTTGAACGTACATATAAACCAGCATTGCATTGCCATAAGATAATATTGGTCAATGTTGATAACTCTTGTACATCTCGTTGTTTAATTACATGACGAATTTCCGTGGGCGGGTATCGTGGAAATCTATCTGTTTTAAACTCTGGTACACGTCCATCATAATCGAGTTCACAAAAAAGAGAATTTTCGAAATTTGGACACTCATACTTTGCCATGCAAGCACCTATATTAAAATTATTAGATTAGGTAAATTGTTTAATTTATCGAAGGGCGTTTTGAACTGTGTATTTATTGAAATAGAATTAGTGATTACTTTAAAGGATCGTTTCTATTAATATTTGGCAAATTCAGACATAGTAAATTATACTTACTGTGACCTATATATTGACCATTACGACATCGAAATCTGTCAGAATCACATGAAGGTTCTTGACCATTATTGAGCCAAATACATGCCATTGTTTCATCATCATTATTTGGACAATCTTGATGACAATCGCATATTTGATGACGACGAATACAAATATCTGAATTTTGACATCGAAATAGACGCATTGATTTGCCTGGATATTTCAATCGACAAAATTCTTGTTCATCAATCGATCCAACACAATCAATAACACCATTATTAGCTCGTATTAATGGGAGACAGATTGGATCACCAGTATGAATATCTAAGCAAAAATGTTTTGTTCTGTTACAGTGATGCTTATGAAGATTATCAAGGGTACTACAGTTCAGTTCATCACTTCCATCTGGACAATTCCACATCTTATTACACTGAGTATAATGTGTAGAACAAGGCCATTCGTTTTTGTCACAATGTGATTCATCTGTATCATTCGAGACATCAGAAATTCGTTCAATAATACCATTACAAAGTTCAGGAAAAGATAGATTAAAACGAGTTGGCATTCCTCGATATGTGAGACATTGAACTGACGAGGGATCGATACATGTATATACAATTCCAAGATGTTCATCCTCTTTATCAGAACACTGTGACTAAAAACAGTCTCAATTGAATATATTTCAAATATACTAAATTAGTTACTTACTTTACGATCGAGAAGAAATATCAACGTCCATGTTTAAATCAACAATCAATATGTTTCTATGATGATAAACTTATGTGTTTATGTGA